CCACTACTTATTCTGTATATCTAATCCTCTATTTGCTTTTAAATGGCCTTTCAGTAGTAGCCTGTAACATATAAACATTTCTATCCGGTGCCTCAGATAGAATCAGCTAATGGCCGCAGGTGTTTACATTACAGCAGTTTCCAACAGGGGACTTGAAAGGGTCTTGGTTTCAGTTAGAACTATACATCTTCCTCTCTTTCTCTCTCTCTCTCTCTCTCACTTTCTTTTCCCTCTCTCTCATTGTCTTGTACTCACTCTCTTGCGCTCTTACCCTTGCTGTAAGGTTGGTGAGGTCAAACCCCCCGGTGCTCCTCCAACAACCCCCTGCCCTTGGCTCAGTTTGTGCCCAGAGAGGGGCTGACAATCCTGGGCAGGACAATAGGAACAGACCCCCCTTTGTTTGGGCCTCCATGGGCCTGATGATAGTCACAGTAAACAGTGGGCACAGGCTGCCAGGCTGGGTGAGCTGCACTGAGAGGCCTTTGACGAGGAAAACTAAAGCAGAAAAGCAGAACAAATAGTGTTTGAACTTTCCGTCGACGACACATGCGGAAAAGTATCTCTCAAGTATTTCATACTAAACTCAATATCTTTTCTAAGATACACAAAGCTTCTTATATATTGGTAACCAGTTATACACACGGTCAAGACCTGCACTGCATTACTTTTAAGTAAAATGAAAGATACACTAATAATGCCTGCCTGGCCATTGAAGAGAGTAAACACACTTCTGCTAGCACGGCCAGTACACCTGAGTAAATCATTCAAGGGCAGAAATGTGGTGAGTGAGACGGCTGTATAACCATTACTGTGATGATATAATAGGGTTATACTATTAAGGCTTACAAAGGCAAGATCTTTACATATCATATTTATGTTCACTGGCTTCTTACTGTTCTCTGTTTCTGCAGTATTTAAATTGTATTTACAGTAGCTCAAATTCAGCATTTGGCAAGGAGCATTTTCAGTGCAAACACTCTTCCCTCTATGATCTAAGACACCCTGCGCAAATACACACCTCCACACTCAGCACAGGTTGCAGCATGACACTAAGCTCCAAAGAAGACCACACAGCAGTGCAGTGAAACATCCCTGGAAACTCTTTCGCACTCCCACAACACAAAAAAATCCTTTTCATCTTCACATAATATTGTTCTCTCTGTCTCTTCCTTTTTATCTCTGATAAGAGTTGGTGCTTTTTCCATTTGCCAGGTTATCTCTATTTAGGAGCTCAAAGCAGGTCAGAGGTCAGATTAATATTTGTTTCATGTGTTGCCTCAGAGAGCAGCAGGCAGCAGTCCTTTGAAGGCCTGTGTATGCAGGGAGGCGGATGAGGTTCGGTGGAGGGGGGTCTGACCAAGCAGACCCACAGACCATACAGTAAAACTTTTTTCAGGGTAAACTGACCCTCAAATGAAGCAGTGTGGGGTCGCGGAGCAAGGACAGGGGAGGGTGGAGGCACATTTTTTCCTCTCCCCCCTCCCCGTCTGCCTGTCCTGTCCGCCCTTGTCCACGTTTTTGGCGTAACCCCACTGTGTGCGCTGCACAAACCAGCGGCCTGTTAAAACAGCCTAACCAGGTGGAGCTGAGCTATTGCAAATGTTCCCCTTCTGGTGTCTCACACTTCCAGGGGCCTCATGAACATATGAGACACAGCTGTGAGACAGGCAGAAGAAAGAGAGGGGGTGGGTATATGAAACAGCTTCAAAATACTTTGTATATCCCATTTAGGTTTTGGGTTTGATAGTATTTTTTAAAATCTGGATCCAGTATTGAATTATTGAATCCAAGTGGTTTTGGAATACCTTGTCAAATCTGCTTAGTTTTGCACTTTTTCAAGTTACACATCACTTAATTTTTGCCAGATGTAAAAACCTATCTAAGAAAATAAAAATGTTTTCATGCTCAATACATACATCAATTTCTACATCATTAGTTTGGCACTACTATAAGAAGTTGAGTTTCATGGCAGCATCACATGTCCAAATGACATGCAGAGATTTTCTACTGAGGAATACATGATTATCTTATTTGAAACACTGCACCTTGCAATCCTCCTTGCAATCACTCAGTACCTACTTTCACCTGTATCCGGTATGTCCTGTCACTCCCGTGTCTGTCTGCACCCGGGCATGGCACTCTGGAACACCAGAGTAGCTTGGGCCTGATTCATAGCTCTCAGCAGCCCAGCCAGACCCATCAGTTATAGCTGGTGTCACTGACAGTCAGAGATACCGTTTTAGTTAAGCTTTCGATAATTCCTGGCTTAGTCAAGCTTATCCATTGCAGGATGTTATCACTCAGGCACACTGTCACTTGTGTCATCGGCATAAAGACCTGGCTTGACACTGAGCTGGTCTCTTCACCCGGCCACATACTTATCAGCATCCATTACTGAGGTGTGAGGGCCTGATAAAGGTCTACCCAGTTCCATGCAGCTCTAGACAGAGGTCCCATTTAGATTGTTGTCTCTGCAGTGGGAGACCTTGCCCCTTTGACTCTTGCTCTCATCACTCTGTAAGGCTGTGTAGGTCTGTCAATCAGAGAGGACCCTGGGTGATCAGTCAGCTCCTCTTTAGGGGATGCTAGTCTGAGGAGCCATTAGAGACAAGGCTGCATAGCCAGACTGGCCCAGGCCAAAAGCTGATGAGAAACAGAGGAGCAGGAGAGCCTGAGGTAGAAAGTGTATGTGTGTGTGTGTGTGTGTGTGTGTGTGTGTGTGTGTGTGTGTGTGTGTGTGTGTCTGTGTCTGTGTGTGTGTGTGTGTATGGAGGGGTGGGGGGCAGAGGAGCAGGAGGTGGATGTGCTGAACTATGTGGATTGTGAAGGGAGGGCAGCTCTGTTTTCTATTTGTGAGGATTAGGTTGACAGATCTGTATTTAGTTTCTTTGGGCCTCTAGCTGCAGCTAATCCCCCTCACCTGCAGCGAGTGCCCCCGCTCCCTTTCCTCTGACCCTGCAGCCCCCTACTTCCCCCATGTTCCCCCCTCCTGCCCAGCACAAACACTCATCCCGAGACAAGCACATGACTCGTTGCACTCTGTCTCCTCAGGTTAGGGCCTCACACTCGACACAAATCTCTCCCGGGCCAAAGGAACAGCGGGGGTCTCAGCCTTTCTGGAAAAGAAGAAAAAGGACCCCCACAACCTGTGGTCTTCCACATGTTAAGATTGTTTTCAGCTTGGGTGAGGGGTTGTCCCTCATCACTTAGAGATAGCAATTACTCAGAAATTAAGAGCCATTGCTACGGAAGCAGCTTGTCAAAGCCACTCAGGGGAAAGGGGGACCTTTGGTAAAGCTGCACATTAGGAAAAATTCAGGGTCAGGTCAGGGGCACGGACCTCTTCTCTTTAGATCTTGGCTCCCACACACTCTGACCAGGCCTTCACACTGTGAAAGAAAGACCGCAGTGCCTCCGCAAACACACACAGCATGCCTGCCAGCAACTCTTGAAGGTGGGGACTCTCGATGACCTAACAGTTTTAGAATCTAAGCACATTTTTCTGTTTTAACAATAAAGTGACATGACTACAAAATGACGCAACAAAGATACTGAAACAGGTTTTGAAGGATTGTTGATGAAGCAACATGTGGGATTTCCTCAAGGTGTCGTATTTATTTAATGTGGTTTTAATGTTTGGAGCTTAAAACAGCTGAAATTAGTCAATAACTGTCTGATACAGGGAACTGAACTGCTAAAACGTTTAAAGCACCTCATTGAGCCCTGAAACACATGTTGGCCAGCATTATCGTTACCATCACCGTCATCAAAATTATATTTTAAAATCACTTCCACATGGCTGACAGATACAATACTTATTTGGCCTCTCTGAAACTCTAACCACAGCCTATTAGCCCCCACCCACTCTTCTGAAACCACCACACACACAAACCGAAATACACATACAGTCGACACAGCTCTGGACAAGTAGCAGCAAGCTCGCATAAAGGGTCTCATTACTGAGTGCCACAGAGGGTGCTAAATAATAGAGATTTTTCTAAACACCACCAGCGTAGGTCTAGTACCTTACAGCAATGAGGTGCTAACTGGCCCACACACATTCCTGGATCTTATTAATGGACAACGTTTGCAAATGTGCACTGAACTTTAGCTCAAGGAGGCATTTCTGCTACGGCTGCTATGTGCCTGCAATGACATACTGTATACTCTGGTATTTCTGCAATCTCAACTGTGGCAACCTGATCACACAAATACAGAGAGGAGAAGATTTAGTCAAAAGGAAATCAAGAAGTATCACAAGAACTGGTTTAATTAAGATGTGGCAGCCTATCATAAATGCAGAGTTATTGATTGAACATTCCTTACATAAAAGCAGCAATACCACACTATAAAAACTAAAGTAAAATCATACGTAAAACATATAAAAATACTAAAGTATTTACTGTTTACTGTTATATACAGTACAATATTTAATATAATGTTGTGTAGTATAATCTATCACACACATACAGTTACTATGCTGCAAGAATCTTTTTACAGAAATATGAATGTGATCTTATTGCTTACTTTTCGATTAAGTCACTCCTTTCATATATTAATAAATTTTTTATTACTCATTTATTTACTTACTTTATCTATTTCATGCTATGTTGAATGTCTAGTCCATTGATAGTATACCTATATTAAATGTAGTCCTGCTGAAAGTGGAGCCATGTTTTATAATCCTTTATCATTATGTTGCATTAATGTTCTATACTATTTGACTTATGTCTGTTAAAAGTGACAATATATATATATATATATATATATATATATATATATATATATATATATTTTTTTTTTTTTTTTTTTTTTTTTTTTTTTTTTTTTTTTTTTTAAATATTAAGTTGCAGGAAATGTAAGTAAGTACCTCAAAACTGTAGTTCAGTAAATACTTAACTATAGTGTCATGTTTTTTCCACTTGAATCCCATTCAGAAATACTAATGAGGCTATATGTGTATCATGGTATGATTGTCTTACTGATGGAAGTGAAGTAATAAAACACTACAGTGAGGTCAATCTTCTTCCAGCCAATCAGTAAGCTGCGCAAAACGCGCGAGAATTCCACCACCCCACAGTCTCTGTAATGGTACACGATGGCATCCCGTGTAGTAGAGCTGTTTTGTGAAGTTGACAAGCTCCGTGCTCATCTGCTACACAATGTCGAAGACTGCCAGCGTGTGGAAGAAGAAGGATTCAGCCAGTAAGTTCAACTGCTCCGACTGCTCGCTAACAGCGATGGTAAACCGGGCTGGAGTTGCTAGCTAGCTAGCATTGCATCCCTGTTTGAAGTGTAATGGAACAGGTGCTGTGAGGGGCTGGTTGTATTTGGCTTGCTCAGTTATGTAGCTAGATGTAATGATTGGTTATTAAAGTAGAGTTTTGCTTGATTTTGGCTCTGTGGTTGTGTTATTGCAGTGGTGATAGCTAGCTAGTTAGCTAGCTTTATGTCCTTTATAAGTGTTAATATTGTCAGATTGGGCTCATTAGGATGAAATATTAAATAGGTCTGTGACTAACAAACCTGTACAGAGTTTGTTGATTTAGCAACCATGAGCCATTTCTCCCCCCCCCCAATAAACTTTATTGGAACCAGTATAATAAGTATAGAGCAAGTAATCTACACACACATTTGCCAGGGAAAGAAGGATGATAAAAGAAAGGGCAATAAAAAATAAATGAAAAGAAATCTTTCATCTTTAAAGCTATTTTTGACATAGATAATCGCCTCTCAAGTGTTTGGCTTCTAGTTTGTAGTTGGATAAAACTCAGATTCCTCTCTTATTAAGTCTAGCCAAACAGTAAATTTCTCCAAAGTATTGTAAATTAAGGGTAGATATGATCAGCAATAAATCTTAACATAGAAATCCAAAAAACCAGTGGTTTTGCATACAGGCAAGACCAAAACAAATCCAGCCACCTTACTAATGAGTCGGCATCAAAGCTTTTGCAAATCGTATATACTGTGCATTACTGTCTATACTACAGCGATGCTTTATGGCGCTATGAAGTACTAGGATTTGTCCAGTTTGTCTTTTAATTCACAGGATTAGTCAAAAAATAAACTGTCTGACTTTTTTATCCATAATTATTGCATCCAATACTTTATAACAATATATCAGTATTTCTGAAGTATCATGACAAAAAAAATTGAGAACCCCAGAGGAAGGTTTTTGTCAAAGCCATTTTCACAGCAGAAATTACTGTCGGTTGTTTTGTTTTTTGTGGTAACTGCTGCATTATTCATGTTTCTGATATATTGTCATCCTCACTGTATCTTCATGTTCAGCAGGGAAATTCTGACCCGCATTGAAAACGTAATCCTAGGAATAGTGACCAGTCTGTCCAAAGATGAGGCCCCTGTCCTGGCACTGCCCAACAGATCCAGTTGGGCCAACGTCAGGTAAGTAAAATGAAAAGTTTTTCTCCCCACCCTGAACGCTGCAGTCGCTTTACACAGCGACTGTGTGGGATTTGTGTAAAGCCGTCTAACCTTTAAAAGATAAACACAAGCAGTCATGTTGTGTAAAGAAATAACCATTTACCTACATAGGTTTTTTTTGTGGGAGGTCAGGCCACACAAGATGATCAGATTGCTGTTTAATTTCCTTTAAAGGGGAAATACACACTTCAACTGAATTTGTATAAGTGGTCTTTTAAGCAGACGACGTGGGCAACCAGGTGGTAAATACATTTTTTTTTAATGTAACTTTCAACTTTGGTTCCTAAAGATTGAAGTTGAAATAACATCCTGCTGTTCAAAAGATGACAGAGTGATAAGGAATTGAAAAGCACTGGCCTACACACACACACACACACACACACACACACACACACACACACACACACACACACACACACACATTTACAAAAGGCTTTAATGTGACTAGACTGCGGAGACCTTATGCTCAGAACAAAGCAGACTGTCTCGTCTTGTTTGGATCAAACCTTGCCGCAGCTTAAAGCACATTCTGGCTCAGCCCTTTCAAATGCGAGAATCCCACAGATTGAACGCCAAAGGTTTCACAGAGGAATCAGGACGGTGAGGTACGCGGGAGGCCTTCTCACAGGTAGCCCTCAGGGTGCATGGGGAATTTTAGATGGCTTACAGGTGGGGGAGCGGATTTTCAAAGCTAAACAAGTAAATGTAGCACGCACCAATCTGTATAGATTTTTTTGATGGCCCCCTTTTCTTCCCTTGTTTTCCATGTGAATCTCCATACATTTTTCTTTCATTACCTCCCACTTAAGTTTCGACAGTGCCATCGGCCTTCAAATGAGTTCAGAAACTTCTGTCACCACCATTAGGAGCGACTGTGCTTCGTCTGTCACTAAATTTGGTAAGAAGATGCACACACCTCTCTTCTTGTGTTTTCTCATTTTGGTTTTCTCCTCTTGACAACCGACATTCCTTTTAGTCAAAAAACTTTTACACTTGTTCTGTATTTCATGTGGCTTTCATTTATATTCATTGTGAACATATGCATAAACTGCACAAACGGCAGTAAAAGTCAGACTTAGTTTTAGGTGACAAATTGGCAGAGACAGAATATCTTGAAAGAGGCTTTTAGGGATTGGTTTACCACATGGATATCCTAATAAAGAACAGAATATGTTTCCCCCCCCACTCCAGTCCTTTTAAAAGATGTGGTGAAACGCTCATGAGAGTGAGCATACTGTTTAATGTTCACAAGAAAATTATTGATTTTTAAAATCTGTTTCTCTCTTTTAAAGCGCAAATTCTCAAGATTCTCTTGGTCATCTACAGACTTGTGCAGAGCAACTCATATTCTACGAAAAGGTTATTTCACAAAATTCACATTCTGTTGATGTGGGTTTTTTTTGTGAAGCAGTTTTGTTTTGCTTGGTTATTGCTAAATTTGCTCTCACAAGGATTTACATTTTGTTTCCACAGAGACATCTTTTACAATAATACACAGCTGTTTGGCACACAAAAAACTGTTGATAGTATAGTGGATGATATCTCCTGCATGCTAAAAGTTCCTCGCAGATCACTGCATGTGGTAAGTGTGCATGTCCATGTTAATGTGAGTGTGTACATGTTGTGTGATTGTACTGCAGAAGACGTACACCTCAGACACTGAAACCTTATAGCAAAATTCCTTTTAGATGTGTTTGGTTATGATTGATATTTTAGGTCCTACAGATAAAATGTGTTAGTTTAATACTGGTATTTTAAGCAGTTTGTTCTGCCTCATATCTCAGGAAACACCTGTGGGGAAAAAAATTATTTTAATTCAAGTTTAATTCAAAGAGGCAATTCCAGAAGTATGTCTACCTATGTATGTGTTAATATGAGCATGCATTATCTCGTGTGTAACCTCCTTGTCATCAGATGGCCACGTCTAAGGGATTAATCTCAGGTGATCTGTGTTATATGGAGGAGGACGGTACAAGGATTGACTGCCACTCCAGCTCTGCTGTAAGTTCAACAACCTAAACCAACTGCCCCATTGATTCAAACAGCCTTCATGTTACTGCACTGAGAAACATGAGGACATTGGTGCATCTGCTCCTGTTTGTATGTTGCATTGTCACCATTAATTGCGTATTACTGACACCAACTCATCAGCAGAAATGTGACCATGTAGCATCATCAGGTCATTTGTTGGTAGAACTTGTGATAATAATAAAAAGCCAACAGAGCTACACATGGTACCTTGTGTTTCCTACCAATCCAACAGCAGTACTGCAGAGGCTTATAACAGAAAGGAATTTACATTTATTAGTGGAACCGATTTTTATGGCTGTTTTTTTTGTTTCAGGCTGTTGCAGTTTCATCAAACATTGGTGGGATTAGAAGTATCCTTTGTGATTTGTTCGTGCACACTCCTTTCCTTTCTTTGTCACTCTGTCTGAGAATGTCATATTGTATATATTTCTTCCTGTGTGGGGAGGAAGCTTTATGGTTCCAGGGTCTGTGTTTTCTTTGATCCTGTTCAGATATTGTATCATCTGCAAAATTCGTCATGATAGTCGAGAAGGATGCAACATTTCAAAGACTGCTGGATGACAATTTCTGCACAAAGCTCTCTCCTTGCATCATAATCACAGTGTGTTTATTTCTTTGTTTCATATCCATTTGAATGTTGCTTCTTCTCAAAAGGGCAGTATTAGTATTCTGTATACATAACAGGTGTGTTTGTGTGGATCAGGGTAAAGGTGTGCCAGATGTGAACAGCAGGTTGATGGTGAGAAAGCTCTGGGACACGTTGCACATCCCCATCTTCGCTCTGGTGGACGCTGACCCTCACGGTAACAGTACACATCACTCATCGTCTGAGGGCAAACCAGTTTTACCTCCCGCACATACTTCACATATTTCCACACATTTAACAACACTTGGACTCTCTTTTCATCTCTACACACACACATGTCCCACTAAGCAAGCAGATGTTAGCACCTGTATGGTACGTCATGGTGCCTAGTCGGGCTGTTATTTCCGTTGGCGTGATCTCGTCCAGACGGGATGGCTCTGTTTCCATCAGTCTCCATACCTCTAACCCTTTTCCCATTGCATGGCGAGACGCAAATGTAATGCTTTACTTTTTTTCTAAGCTCCGTTACACATCTCGGAGGATAATTGCTCTGGTATGCCAGTGATTGCAGCGTGTCTCTGTCTCTCCTGATTTTCCCAGGGATTGAGATCATGTGTATCTACAAGTACGGATCAGTGGTGAGTCCCACCATGCCAGTTCTTCCTGTACTGTATATTATCCAATGTTGCCTGTTCAGTGTCACTCTGTTAGCAATATGTAATTATGCCCCTCTTTGAGTAAAAAAAAAGGAGAAAAAAAGGACATATCATCCGTCTCACAATATTTAAAGTGACGTTTTATGGAGTGAAGAGTTGAGTGATTGTGTGGCAGTGTCTTTGTTGATGTTGTGTAATCATCCTTATGTTCATTAACTTCATTGTGAACATGTGTTGGGCCTAACCGCATTATGGTTGGTGCAGTGCTGATTATCCGTGTGTTTATTTGAGATGTATTCTGTGTATAAGCATGTTGTGTGTCTGTTTTTTTGACTGTGTGTGTGTGTGTGTGTGTGTGTGTGTGTGTGTGTCTCTGTGCGTTGGTTTTTCCACAGGCCATGTCGTTTGAGGCCCACAGTCTGACCGTCCCCAGCGTTATGTGGCTAGGCCTCCTCCCCTCTGACCTCCAGAGGTTTGGACTCAACATTCGCTACTTCCTACTTCCTCCTCCTGCCTCTAATTGGGATTATATTCTGGGGACATTTAGATTGTTTGTTTTGGTTTCTGTTGCTGTCGCCCTCACTTTTTTTTTTCCTTCAAGGAACTGCGTCTGAGAGCATATTGCGTTTTAAGTATATGTCCTCTTCAACAAATTTAGGCCAGAGGGGCTTTTTGACATACATTAAATTGTAGTCTGCACTGGAGTTTTTCCTCCTATGCTTCCTCCTAAACATACACATAATAACTCCTCAATGTGAGTCTGTTGAGAATGGGAGGAAACACACTGTAGGGGTGACATCCATCAACAGAACTGCCTGCTGGCTGCTGTCATTTTCAGGAAATTAATTTAGTGTAGTAAAATCAACATTTCATTCTTGAGGTTGCAGGTTCCCAAGGATGCCTTGATCCCCCTCACCGAGAGAGATGAAAGCAAACTCAACAGCCTCCTCAAAAGGCCGTACTTAACCAGTCAACCGGACTGGCAGAAAGAGGTGAGACGAGAGAAGGGAAGGCTGGAGGTTTCATAGAAGTGTGGGAGCTGTATAAAGCATCTTTAAAATGTCCGGTGTGTAACATTTAGGAGGTTCGCTTGGAAGAAATGGAATATAATATTCATAGATATGTTTTCATTAGTGTATAATCACCTGAAAATAAGAATTGTGTATTTGTTACCTTAGAATTAACTGTTTCTATCTACAGAGGGAAATCTACAGACCAGACAATCCAACACTGGCTCTATATAGGGCCTTGTGCGTTTCACGATCGCTGTAGTTTCTCCTACACGCTTGGAAGGCTCAGTTGTATTAACGGTTTCAGTTTGCAGCTTCACTGCTAGAGCCCACTAAATCCTACACACAGGTCCTTTACGTAACCTTGTCAGAAACCTGAAAGATAATTCAGTATTGTTTATTTTATCTCCATCAAATGGTGTTCTCCTATTTATATATTTTATATATTATTTTAGTAGTTCTCCTGTCTAAATTAATAAGTTGAATTTCAAATACATATAATTCATGGAAGTTTTGTCTACTAAAGCATTAAGAAGCATTTGATTCGATTGAGTGAATTGAGTGAGTTTTAACCTTTACCATGTGATTTTGAATAGTATATGTGATATTTAATTTTGTCCATATCACACACACCTTTAGAAAAAGAAAAATCCTCAGAGGTTTATACAGTTTTAACATTTTGCTCATGTGACACATGGCGTAGGAATGTCTGTGAGAGCACCCTTAGCTCGCTGGTACTGAGAATACAGGGGGAAAAAAAACATAAACACCTGATGATTAATGCTTGTTTGCTAGTCTTCCTCCTGCATGCTCCTTAAATTGCGTGTTTGCTCTTGTTGTAGATGGAACTGATGCAGCAGAGTAAGGTCAAGGCTGAAATACAGTCCCTGGCAGCCATTGCTCCTGATTTCCTCACCAGCATTTACCTGCCCAATAAGCTGCGTTATGGAGGCTGGGTATGAGCACAATGCTGCCACTTAGTGGAATAACAAGTGAACTGGCAAGGCTTGTTGCAAAACTTAAGTGAGGTCCATGTAACTATACTGCCTGACCTTGTCAGACAGATTGAATTATGAAAGTTGGTTTGGTTTGTAATGTTTGCATATTAATTTGTGACTGTGTGTCTTTAATTCTATCATATCATTAAAACCCTGTAATCCAGTTGACAAGTCTGTACATGTTTTTTGGTCTCAAACACACTATGTTGATTAGTTTTATTCATGGGGTGGATTATTCTACTATTGCTTCAGCATTATCTCACATGCTTTGCAACCACTGAACACCACCACTATGCATGTAGGTACAGGGACTACAAGTGAACAGATAAGAATCAGGATTTAGTGGTTTGGAAATAGAGTATCTGGAAAGCTTTTGTCTATATAATCTGTTCTCCAGCAGGTGGAGACAGTGTTCATTAAATAACAGAATGGGGTATTATTCTAGAGACACTTATGATATAATAATATGGCTAAATTATCACACTATTGAAGAAATTAAAGTTTAAATCAGACCAAGATCTCGTGGTTATTCCACAGGGGAAAGAAAATGGTTAGAAGTAGTTTCTGAGTTCAGTTTATAAGACGTAGAGTGGTTCCTGTTTGGAATAGACGATCTTTGGCAGCATTACGTTACGGTCGGTGGGCTTGGCTCTGTGCTTGTGCAACATACTCCTGCAACGTCACCGCTGTGACCGAAGTGATGTAAGTTCACCTCCGTAAGTTTCACCAGTGTGAAGAAGAAGTCAGAAAACTGCCGAGGACCACCAGGCCCAGCACCGTTTCAGTATAAAGCAATATCCAGGTGGGTTAATATAAGAACTGTAGGACGGAATATAGCAGAGATAGTTTGCATGTCATGTGATACAGTGTCTTGTACAGCTGGTTGTAGATGAGCTACTCATAGAAAAATGAGTTCCAGTATAATGACTTTGATGAGGATGATGCTCTAGTCAACCAGTGTTTACTAAAAGCTGAAAGATCTCATGTGAAAAGCAATTGGATAACTTATTATGTATTATATTCATGTCTCTTTCAATACCAATTTTCTGCTTAATGATAAAGTTTTAATTGATTGTGGATGCTGTGACAATAGTTAATGAAAATCATTTTACAAGTAAATGGGTGAAATATAATGTATGGTAAAATGGTTTTTAATCTAAATCCTTTTATTGGTAATCTCAATATTGATTTCTGAGCCATTACATCGTCAATTTGTGGATGTTATGATCTGCAACAGAGATCCACCCCCTGGTTTTGCAGTATATTGGGGGGGGGCTCAGTCTGTTACACTTCATGTATCTGTTTCAATTGCATCCAGATGGTTTCCTCTTCTCCTCTGTTTTAGGTAAGACAATACAGTCATAGTAGCGAGACAGATCCTTGAGAGGCCATCCCATTCCCACTTGTCAAGGACAGCTGACTACAGAGCAGCGTGAGTTAAAGTAGTCTCTTAGGCTTTTAGCATAACATTCTCTTTGGCCTCACCAGTCATAGATTATCAGTGTGGAGTCAGTCATGTTTCGTAAGACATTTTTCGTCTGTTACATCAAGATGGACTGGGATGTTTTCAGGTAAAAAAAAATGACTGTGTGACACTGAGAGAAAGGTAGGTAATGGCAGCTTTTTTATGGGATCCGTTTTGGTAGAAAATATTCTTAAATAATACCTGAATATTACCTTTTCACATTGTTGGAATGGTAGCTTTAACTGGATTATTTATTTTTCAGTTAGGTTTTCAGAATATTGATTTAGCAAAGAGCAGGTTGCATTTATTATATACATTTACATTGCATTTATAAAACTGACAGGAAAACTATCTTGACACATTTTTAATTCTCCCTGTTTTTCTCCTTCTCTTTTAGGTCAAAAGTATCTCATATGGAAGCAGTGATCCGTAGGTGCCCTTTCCTGACTTTTGTGCCCAATGTTTGCCTGCAGCTGACTGGGAAGTCATCCCTTTTGAGCTATGCCCAAAGGTGCCCTGTGATGATGGACCTGGCCTCCAGACCTCTGTCCAGAGCTCTGTCCTCTTCATCTTCTGCCTCCAAAGGAACAACAAATGGTCAGCTGGAAGGTGAATATGATGATACATCCTATTGTATGATGATTACCTGTTCGATCAGCACAATTAATTAAAAAAAACATGATTTTATTTTATATTTTGTATGCTGATTATAATTTAGAAATGTACTCCCATGCTCTGTAGCTCAGAAGCATGAAGTCAGGTTACCCCCAGGTCACGTCACTCCACCTGCTTGCCAGGCTGTAGGCTCCAAATGCCCTTTCCTGGCTGCAGAAATGGTGCAGAAAAACAACAGGGTAGTAAGAGAGGCCAGCGTGGAGCTGCAAGAGGACGTCCAGGGGATGCACTTTGTCCACACAGGTAAGCAATTGCACGGCCACACGTGAAACTGGACACCCTTTGAGGATGTCAACTATGTAAATTGTGAAAGGTCATGGTGTGAAACATACAGACTTCAGTGACATTTAGGGTGCATAGCAGATGAATGTTACGTTTTTCGTGAACAGGGAAAACAGATGTGTCGGTTGTGGATCTTATTGAGGCAGACAAGGCCAACACAAAGGCACCAAAAGAACTTTTTAAACCCATATCTTCCAAAGCGTCTCACCTGCTAAAGGATAATCTGCATGACGGTAAGCGAGACAGAATCTTCTTAGTAAATAATAATTCTAAAAAAATATAGTAGACTGTTATATTAAACTTATTATAAACTTGTATAAACATGTCAAACCCTCCCCCCATGTTTTCCTCCATCAGCTGTCACCTTCCAATATGACAAGTTTTTTGAAAAGAAGATTGAAGGCAAGAAGACAGATCACACATACAGGGTTTTTAAGACAGTGAACCGGCGTGCCTTCTCGTTCCCCATGGCAGATGACTACTCAGCGTCTTTTCACGCTAAAAGAGACGTGTCTGTGTGGTGCAGCAATGACTATCTGGGCATGAGCCGCCACCCCAAAGTCATCCAGGCTATCATGTGAGTAAGCTCATTGATCAGCGGTCAACCATGCCAACCCTGATGAGTGTTATTAAACAGAGGATGGTTATAATTACAGATTCAGATGATGAAAGATGATAATACGGTTGCTTTAAGATAGTAAAGTCTTTCTTTTTTTCTTGAAGGGAGACTTTAAGAAAGCATGGTGCTGGTGCAGGAGGCACACGAAACATTTCAGGGACAAGCAAATTCCACGTGGAACTTGAATATGAGCTAGCTGACCTGCACAGCAAGGATGCTGCACTGCTGTTCACTTCCTGCTTTGTAGCCAATGACTCCACATTGTTCACTCTGGCAAAAATGCTACCAGGTACATTCAATTAAGCTTGGAAATATTATAACATGGGACCAAAAAGGTCCTTGCTTTTGCGGTAATTGAAGTTTGTAATGAATTTGATGACATATCAGACTTTACTCCATAGTAGAGAATTGAAGAATAAACATTTCTTCTATTTGTTTACTTTTCTAGGTTGTGAAATCTACTCTGATGCTGGCAACCATGCTTCAATGATCCAGGGTATAAGAAACAGTGGAGTCAAAAAGTTTATCTTCCGTCACAATGACGTCAACCACCTACAAGAGCTGCTAGAGAAGTCTGACCCTTCCACTCCAAAGATTGTTGCCTTTGAGACAGTGCATTCAATGGATGGTAAGTACACCGCCCACCATCAAAGTATCAGTCTTATTTAATAGAGAATATAAAAGATTTATTTATTTTGAATTTATGTGTTTTTAGTAAAGTGTTAGTTGGAAAATAAAAAAGAACTGGATTTTAGGTTTAAAGTACTTTCATTTGTAATCTTCAATAGTCTAATGAACACTGTGCTTTCTACAGGGGCTGTGTGCCCACTAGAAGAGATGTGCGATATTGCCCACAAGTTTGGTGCCATTACTTTTGTGGATGAAGTTCATGCTGTGGGCTTGTATGGGCCCAGAGGAGGAGGAATCGGGGACAGAGACAGAGTCATGCACAAGATGGACATCATCTCTGGTACCCTCGGTAAGTAGAACCCTCGCTAATGAGGACAAACCTCTTATAACACCCTCAAAAAGTACATATGTGCCTCTCTGACTTGTTATGGTTTTCGTTTCCAGGCAAGGCATTTGGCTGTGTGGGCGGCTACATTGCCAGCAGCAGCGCCCTGGTGGATACAGTGCGCTCCTACGCTGCAGGCTTCATCTTCACCACTTCCCTGCCCCCCATGCTGCTGGCAGGGGCGAAGGAGTCAATCAAGGTCCTGAAAAGTGAGGAAGGCCAGGTGCTCAGGAGAAAACATCAGAGGAGCGTCAAGCTGCTTCGACAGATGCTGATGGACTCAGGCCTTCCTGTGGTCCACTGCCCAAGCCACATTATTCCTGTCCGGGTATGAAAATGAATAATGTATCCATTTAACTGCTGCTAATGCAAGGATTCACTTACAGGACAATCTCTCTTTAACTACAAAGCAACCCTGCCACCATAACTAGCTGTTTATTTGGTATTTGCTGTATTGACTTTCACTGCTACAGTTTAATATATCAGTGTTATAGAAGGCATTGTGTTTCCTATAGTCTAAATCAGTGTTTTGTGTTTTTTTAAATTTAGCATACTGTGTACTACCTACAAAAAGTATTAGGCATTATGGCCGACATTAAAGTAGTGTAGGCCGACCCTATTCAGCGATGGACAGTTCACACAGGCAGGTTTATTACTTTTTTATTTACACATAAAAAGGAACTGGCTTAAAAACTTCTGCACAACTGTTATACACCACAAGGTGTAACTAATCCTGGATGTATGTATGTGCTACGTGCATGAACATGACTATGTAGCAAGCTGATATTAAAACAAAAATATTACAGTAAAGGCTAAACTTTGTTTAAATTAAATTTCAGTGATTTCATAATCTAAATATTTTCATTCCAAATGTTGTAGTATTGATAGTGTTATGTGTTTTTAAATTGATCTATTTCATTGTGTTTGGCAGGTGGCAGATGCAGAGAAGAATACAGAGATCTGTGACATTATGATGTCTCGTTACAACATCTACGTCCAGGCCATCAACTATCCCACTGTGGCTAAAGGAGATGAGCTCCTGCGCGTCGCCCCCACACCGCACCACACCCCTCAGATGATGTACTACTTTGTTGGTATGCCCACTCTATTGTAGATTATATTACTTATTTCATGAATCAAAAATATCCAAAGATTATACATTTTTGTAACCTCTTCAAAAGTTTAAGATTTATGTACTTTAGATATTTGACAAAGAATGCAGACATGTGACACAGTATTTTGTGTTGAGTTAAGTAGTCTTGAGTATATAAAATGCCTGATCACTAATATTTCATGAATTCTCTGCATGTTTTTCACCCTATTAAAGGAGAGTGTTCTTATTGGGGTACATTACAACTCTGGAGTCCAGTAGCTATGCTGGGTAGTGAGACTAGTAATTTATTTCAAACCCCAGCACTGTTTTGTATTTTGACCCTGTTTTCTGCTTTTATGTATATCTGATCAGCTGTTTGTTCTCTGCTTCGTCTCCACAGACCGGCTGGTGAAGACGTGGAAGGAGGTGGGTTTGGAGCTGATGCCGCACTCCTCAGCAGAGTGTGACTTTTGCCAGCAGCCTCTTCACTTTGAGCTGATGAGCGAAAGGGAGAAGTCCTACTTCACAGGCCTCAGTCACATGATATCAGCAGTAGCCTGATATTCCACTAAAAATTAAAAACACTGAGTCGTAGCAAACCCCACCTCCTAGTATACAAGCTATTTGTTGTATTTAAATGAAATATATCACTTTTGTGTGTGTGTGTGTGTGTGTGTGTTTGTTTAAATGTATTTATTATGACTTGGACATGAACTGATTTTATTTAAGTGTGACAAAGGAGTTTTCATACCATAAACCCAAACTTTAAAAAATAAATGAAGTGCTGAACCAACACTTCTTCTTGTTATACTGTGAGCATCAATTGCCTCATAAAGATTAGAAATCAGCTGATCAGTCAGCATTTAGATGGAAATCATTTCATAATACTAAACATTTATGAATACATATATTTGTACATATGTTTAACCCTTGCAAATTAACATTTTCTAACTCCTGTTGGTTGTTAAGATGCTGTGTCAGAGCTGTGCTCGTAGCAGAAAGCAGCAAAGGCAAAGGTGTTGCTTTCTTGTGGTTTTTTATTGTATTATTGCATTTTTTTTATGTTAATCCTCTTTTCCACTAGTAATATGCTCTTTCATCTTTTGTGTCACAAGGTGGGATGTCTTACTGATTTGTTGCTAATATGTATAATATGTGTTACGCAAAGATCTAATCTGAATAATCTATCTGAGCTTTTTATGGTAGAATGATCTTCAAGTATGAAGTGACTGAGATAACAGATGGGATGAAATATCACACACTCATCCCAAGCCATTTATATAGTGAACACACAGTATCTCAGATCACTAATATGGTTGCAACCATTAGTTTTATCCTTTTGCGTTTATTATGACATCCAGAATGAGTCATTGCTTCCTTCTGTAGATATATTGGGATACGTGTAATTTACTCTGAAGAAAATAAATAGTAGTGATTGTAATAAATAATTCCATCATAAATCATAAAGGGCATATTACATAAATGCCACAATAAAGGGGGTAAAAAGGCAGAGATGTATCAAGTAGTGGTGTTCATGTATAATCAGCTTAAGGGCAGATTTGTGGTCATCTGGTCAGTCATTCATGAAATGCATTTAATGGCATTCTTGGTTTCACCACATGGAGGCATACTGAGTCTCTTATTTGCTGCTGTGATGCTGTGATGTAGGGCACCTCCCTCCTTTGCAAATGACTCATAGCTGGTGCAGCAGCTTTCATGATGAACCACTAGATGGTATCAATGGAGAACAGGATATTGTGTTTCCCATAGATAACATGGGAGATCATATTGGTTCTAATAAAATACAGCAAATGTACCTCACAGCATGTGTCAGTATATCAGACATGGGGGGAAAAGAATGATCATAGAGCATTTTAAATGAATTGTTACCTGTATCTCACATTAATGGAGAAGCCTGGTTGTTTTATATAGCTTATTCATACAATATGATTTTTATTGGCCTTGTACATTTTCTATCCTCTGGCCTATGATCATCATTTTCAGATAAGATTAGTTCAATAAAAAAGCTGTTTACTCCCACACGCAGAGAAACATCAATGGAGACAAAGCTCTCCTCCCATCTGTCTCATCTCTGAATGCATCCCACTGTACATGTGCACATGACAGGGTATGCGTGAAAGCCCTCAAAGCAGCACTTGACATGCAAAAAAATGGGATTCTGTAAACCAAAAGACCAAAGTTAAATCAAAGTTTCCTCTCTGAGAATTACCATGAGCTCATGTTTGAAGCGCATTACATAACCAAAGTGGAGCAGTCAGGTGACCATCACTGTCAGCCTGCTCAAAACATGAATGATATTTGATATTTGTTGTATTTTGAGTTAATGTAGTTATGTGTTGTGTTGATTTAGTTGGTTTTTGAGACATAGTCATCACACAGACAGTCATACACAACAGCACTACATCATTCTTAGATCTGATTAGTAAACAAGGTCATTCTTTCCCAACTACCTCTTGCTTCATATACAGTGAATCCAGTGAGTCAGTGAGTTGTTCGCAGGAAAATACTCCTTTGTACATTGTTTGACCTCATTGTCACACATTATTTCCTCTAATCCATCACTGTCATTTGTAGATGCAGGCTGTTCAGTTCCTTATTGCAAAAAAGTCTTAGGGCAGGTCCAACACCTCCTCCGCAAGAGACTTCAACTGGAACAGCAATCATATGGGTATGAGGGACCACAGGCAGTGTCTGTGTGTGTGTGTGTGTGTGTGTGTGTGTGTGTGTGTTGGTTTTCAAACTCTTGACACTACATGGTGGTCGGAGGTTTGAGGTGTTGAAATGGTGGTCTGATGTAATGTGGCGATGATAGTGTCTGTTTTGTGTGTGTGATCAGCCTATGTTGAGAGTATTAACGTGTTGTTGTGTGTGTGTGTGTGTGTGTGTGTGTGTGTGTGTGTGTGGTGTGAGTGTGTGTGCATGTTTAGCTCTATTCCTCATTCTGTGTTAATCCCGATGCTCTGCACATCTGTGTTTCCCCCCACTCACGTGCGCTGGCAGATGAGCTACATGGCTGGATTCCCACTGCACGCATCGCCCTCTCTCTATTCCTACACATTCACCATTCACTTGCATTATTATACACGTCAGAGAACCATGGGAATATTGTGGTTGCATTTTAAGAAAAGACAATCATGCACAGCAGCATGCTTGTGAATTTCCAATTGTGGCAACCATGTATTTATAGAATGGGAACAAATGAAGTGATACACTTTTCACCTCAGAAATAAAACGAAAATTGAAGAAGAGAGCAGTTTCTGGGGTGTGTCCAATCTGACAATTAATTATCATGATGAAAGATAACAACATACTTCCTCTTTTTTTTCTGTAGAAAAATGCATCACTACTTTAAAGGAATCCACAGAGTGAATGTTTGTTAGTGCTTGTGTGATTTCATTGTAAATATCGCAATGCAAATGTAATCCTGTGTAATAAACTGATAGTTGTTGTAATATAACTAATATTACTATTCATCATCACATATGTGATACTAACACTGTTATTGCTGTTATTAACATCATCAGGTTCCACTTAAAATACAGTATATACAGCATTTCTGTGTCGAAAGTGTGTCATAAGTGCACTTTTAAAAAATGCTACATGGCTCTGGGGAATTTGGTGGAAAACAAGAGAAAAAATGATGCAATCCCACCTCATTTGTCAAGAATTCCCACCTAAAAAAAAAAAAAAGTATCATGCCAGTTGCAACAATGCGTGTGCAAGATTAACTCAGACACTCCTTAAGCCCCCCCATGGGAATATCTTAGTTATAAAATTAATAAATGATAAAAGTTACATAAGGTTACTTGATAGAATAGAACAAGTTTAGTCCCCAAGAAACAATTGGGAATCAGTATTGTATTGGTTGCAGATAACAATCCACTCTAAAGTCAGTGTAGCTTTGCAATAATACTACAAATACATCACAAAACTGTGACTGGCAAAGTGATTCCGATGAGACCTACTGAAACGAAACTTTTAGCAATTCTTTTCTGCTATGACTTTAAATCATAAGGAATAAACTCCTCCCTCTTGAGTTGCTCTACTGTCAACTAAAAAAAAAAAAAAAACCCTCCCATGCATCGGAATGGTAAAACGACAATGTGCATGGAGGACCTTGGTACGCTGTGGAGTAGCTGAAGTTGGAGAAGAGATCATTGGCTATAAAACCTTCGCATTTATGAGTGTTAATGGGGGATTAAAGTGTAAATAGGTCTCCATTAGCTCTGGGGCAGGTCAGACTCACTGACTGATGGAAATAGAAAAGAGGAAAAAGGGGAAATCTTTTCGCTCAACCAGAAGCGCCATGCACTGTCGCGGCAACATTTAACGCTTCTTTTTTTTTTTTCCGGATGAAATGTAGTTTCTCGTCGTTCGGTGGACCATGTAGTAAGTGTTTGTGCTTGCATGTAGTATGATATTGAGTCCGATATGTCTAATGTGACGCCGAGTAAAAGCGTGGAATGGCTGCAACTCGAGTTAGAGTCCGGAGGCACTTCTCTGCTCCTGCTGGACTGCCGTTCACATGAGCTTTATGAATCATCCCACATAGAGACCGCCATAAACCTGGCCATACCGGGGCTGATGCTCCGGAGGTTCAAAAAGGGCAACCTACCTATCCGGACTATCATCCCCAACCATGAAGATAAAGAGAAGTTCATAAGACGGTGCAAGACGGACACGGTCGTCCTGTATGATGAGTGCACGGTGGACTGGCAGGACTGTGGAGGTCCGGCGTCGGTTTTGGGTCTGTTACTTCAAAAACTATGGGAAGACGGCTGTAAGGCGTTTTACTTGGAAGGTAAGTAGTTTTGCTGTCGAATTAACCCAGTGAACAATGGCACCAGACATTAATGTTAACACTACACGTTAATGTCAGTTAGCTAGCTTGTTATAGAGTGTGGGATAGAACGTAACAACGTTAGAAAACTGACGTTCCAATACGATCGCTTAAACGCTCGTTGTTGAAATATGAAGCTAGTTTTGGCGCAATGTTAGTAAACCTAGCATCGTTATAAGCTGTGTTAAAAAGCTAACAAGTCTTCTTTCTTTTCTTTTTTTTTTTCTAAAGATACGCTGCCAAATGCCAAGTTTTTAACTTGATGTGGGTTTTTTTTTAAACTTTCAAATACCGACATTCGAATTTTAAAACCAGAGCGTTCTCACGTTCCAAACGTTAATTCTGCGCCAACGTTCATCCTGTGTTGTTGTGGGTTTGCGGTTTTGTAAGCCGTTCAAAAGTTTGTGTGCTGTGTGTGTCACTGAGATTCTCAATTAAAATTCCAAAATGGCTGCGCCGTGTTTTGCTCCAGCAGGAACAGGCATGCATTTCATGAATGGTTTTTTTTGGGGGGGAACTTGCTACTTCTTCACAAGTCTGCTACACGTAACCAACAGCCTTTTGCCATTGACAATATGAGAATATGATTCAAATAAGTTGTTTTTATTTAGTTGGTGTGACGCTTTTATTTAAAATAATATTCAACCCTATGATGTGACTTTCTTAACTTGTGTTTTGGCTCTTGTCCAGGTGGATTTGTAAAGTTCCACAGAGAGTATCCAGACCACTGTGAGACCCTCCTCGACAGCTCTTGTCCAAGCTCCTCTCCTCCTCTGTCCGTTCTGGGTTTTGGAAATCTTCGGATCAGCTCAGATTGTTCCGATGGGGAATCTGATCGAGAGCCGAGCAGTGCCACGGAGTCTGAGGAGAGCCCCATTCCCAGCAATCAGCCTGCCTTCCCTGTCCAGATCCTGCCCTACCTTTACCTGGGCTGCGCCAAAGACTCCACTAACCTGGACGTGCTGGGCCAGTACAACATCAAGTACATCCTGAATGTCACACCCAATCTCCCCAACATGTTTGAGCATGACGGCCACTTCAGGTACAAACAGATTCCCATTTCGGACCACTGGAGTCAGAACCTGTCCCAGTTCTTTCCAGAGGCCATATCATTTATAGGTGAGTAAGTCTATAACTCTCTTTATTAAATGTAAGACTCACAGAAACACTCACACGTATCAGAAAATAAATATTGTTCTTAGTGTGTGTGTATGTGTTTAGTTGTTTAGGACTATAGTAAGAGAGACTAAAGTATAGTTACCCCATGTGGGATGGCCACTTTTTGGTAACCAAAATTAATTAGTTAAGTCATTTTTTGCTAGCTATGTTTGATAATAATATAATTATCAATACTTGTGAATATTTTATTTATTTGTTTTCATAAGCAAAAGGTTGTTTATACTGTGAGACACGATAAACGTTCCCTCCTTAACCACAATATCACGGAATTTCTTTTATACAAAGTAACAACACATTCATCTTGAAAATAAACATATTTTCCTGTTTTTGATGGCACCACAACATTTCAATTTCACTTTTGATTCGTTGTCTTTCACTGGGACTGCACCTGAAACCACAGCTTCTGACTTGTTTGTTTGGTGGTTGCAAGGCTACGATCACGATCTAATTTCCAGAAGGTTTAGAGATAGAATGAGGAAGGAAATGTTGTTTCCACTCTCTGGGGTTGTATTTGTTTGCATTGTCACAACTTAGGTCTAGTGTTAATTTGTTGACAGTTGTTTGAATGTTACAACAAGAACTGAACCTCTTAGTCAAGAGCAAAAGCTTATTTTACCACCACAGCCCTGAAACATTGTAGGACAGTAAAATATGAATAACTGAAAATATTATTTAGAATTATATGAAAATATGTTTTTGTACTTGTGTTACTTTCTGTTGAGCATATTTCTCTCTTGCTTTCACAGATGAGGCTAGGTCTAAGCAGTGTGGCATCCTGGTCCACTGCCTGGCCGGCATCAGTCGCTCAGTCACCGTCACCGTGGCCTATCTGATGCAGAGACTCAACCTCTCTCTCAACGACGCTTACGACTTTGTCAAGAGGAAGAAGTCCAACATTTCCCCAAACTTCAACTTCATGGGCCAGCTCCTGGACTTTGAGAGGACGCTGGGGCTGCACAGTCCCTGTGATAATCGATCCACCAGCAAAGAGCAGCTCTTCTTCACCACACCAACCAATCACAACGTCTTCCAGCTGGACACGCTGGAGTCCACATGAGGATTGATTGGACAGCCTTTTTGTTGTTTCCTGTGGTGTCTTTGAGGTTTTTTGAGCCTCTCAGATGCCCAGCTAGCTGACACAAGCAGTAAGTCAGTTACAGTTAACTACACCAAAATGAACTGCATTGATCTGTTAAAGTATGCAGAGAACATGCTCCATTAGATCCAGTCTCAATGCCTTAATACCTAACACACAGATGCATTCAGCTATCCACCATACATGACATTAATCAGTGGTCAAGTACAGCCATAACAACAGGACATTTCATAACTTTTCTATTAAATCAAGGATTGTTGTTTGACTGTTATTTGTTATTCACCAGCTGTAAAGTGGATGTTTATGTATTACTTTGTATCAGTTATGATTATTGCCTTGATGGTCTAAAAGGAGTCTTTGGCCAATCTGATCAGAATGTTTTCTGGGGACCAATCCGAGATATTTTGATGGTACTCTAGCTGAGGGAAATAAGCTACTAAAGTGATCCAGCCTTGAATTAATGTCCAGTCTTTCTTCTGATGACTGTTGGCAGCTCTCTTGCAGTAGAATGGAGTTACCACAAAAAGCATTTCTGTTGTGCTTTCACTCGTAATACCTTCGCTAATATCTGTTAAATAGTTATTCTTTAAATACAAGATCAAGTGGCCCCCTTATGCGAAATATCAAAGTTAAAACATATTATTCTTCAGAAACACTCTTGTACATTCTGTTGCTTATAACTGCATTATTTGCATGTGATTATGTTCTACCAAGGACCCTGCTTTGTAACCTTTAGGTCACATTTCCTGTTGTTGTTGATGCCTTGACAATACCTTAACATTAACTGATATGTCGGTTACCAGGTCGAGGTATAATGTATAGGACTGGCTTTTGCCACAATTGAAAGGAACAAATGTGTAAGTAATCAGTGTATAAAGAAATGGATGTTCCCCTTATTTTTTACTTTGACAGTCTTCAGTCTGCAGCTACTCCTCCTGTGGCACAATAATGTTAAGGGAAACACAATGTATAATTAGCTGTTCTCTTTTGCCAGTCTCGTCTCAGAACAAGTGAGTGAGTTTCATGTATGAGAGGGAATGAAAGGAAATGAGTTTGACAAATGTGTTCTTACCTCACAGAGAGACATTTTCAGGGATTTTTATACAAGGCATATCTCGTCATGGCCTCCTAAAGTGCATCCAAGGGCTGTTTTGTTTGGTATGTTTGTAAAGATGTACATAAAATATGGTTGTTATGGGGACATTTTCTCAGAATCATGAAGGATGCGAATGTTGCCCTATTTTGACTCTTATGTATAGTGTATGTAAAGCTAAATGTCCAAGACATTATGTACAAGTTTATACAACAAATATATTGTATATTTTTACTTGAATATCTTCTTGAATATCTATCTTCTCGTCTTTGTTCCGACTGTGGTTGTTTTTTTATACTGAAAGTCGATAGCAGACTGGTAAAGCACACTGATTAAACAAGTGGTTGAGTCAGGTTGAGAGTGATCTGGGAAGTCAAAGAGTTGAAAAGTAATGGCTCTGTGCTGCCCCAAGGCTCTAGGTGTGGTCAGATGTCCGTTTTCTGTCCACTCTGATGTCTGGCTTCCTGTCTCCCACAGTCTTTCTGACACAAAGACAAGTGACAGGGCCAGATCTGTCAATACCACAGTGCAGACACACCCACTAGCAGTCACTCAAACAGTGCTTAAAGGAAGAGGAAGATGACACAGCATGTACTCTAACACAGATACAAGACTTCTGACTCTCCTCTTCAAGTTGGGGAGTGATAAAATTCAGTGTTGCACAATAGTACTAGTAACAGTATTAGTATTAGCCTCGGTTAAAATATGTTTGCTGTTTACTATGATTTTAACATACATAGGCAAAAATGGAATATCTTGTTAAGCCATAAAAGTATTTTGTTGTTTAAAAAATCAAGAAATGAGAGTGCCCTAGTATCCTCACATCCATGCTGCTATTTAGAGAGGCACATTTACGTCATCTGTTTGCTGTGTATTTGTCTTTTTGTATTATAATATAATATTCAATTTCTCTTCAGAAACCAGTTAATCTTAAAAAGCAATGAAGAGTAATTTTCATAACTCCAGGCAAAACAATATTCAGTGAATCAGAATAGCTACTGTAGATACATGTGTTATTGCTAGCGGCATAAATCAGTTGTGCTTACTTTAGTTTGTCACCCAATGATAAGACTAGTATGACCATTTCCAAATTTATGTGTAAAGTTGCTAGGAGGTAATATGTGTTGTGTAAGATTTATGCTTCGTTCCAGCTCCGTGAATGCTCAATTTGGTTTGATATTGTTTCTATTTTGTCTGCGAGATTTATTCATATGTTCTTCACCAGATGACAGAAAGGTGATGCCGTGAATTCCCTGCCCTGAAGAATGAACATCATGAACAAGCTTTCCAAGTCAGGATAAAAAGGATAGGGGAAATGTACTGTAGGTGATCTGTGCAGCAGTTCATGGCCCAATAACTGTCACTCTGTGGGATTTAATGACTTAAATACTGCACTAAAACAGGTTTAGTTCCAGCTTCGGGGGCTGAGATGACTGAGAATAGTGTAGCAAGCTGAAACTAAAATCTTCAACTTTCACAGCAATACAGCACATGAAGAGACTTGCGTAGCAACACCTCGGATTTGTGATAATAAAAGCTGTTGAGTGATGGGTTTTCCAGCATGACTGAACCCAGCTGTTCACATACCTGCAGGGCAAACCTGTGATTATGTCTGAAAAGACACCCACAATAAGGTAGAGGCAATGGATAGCTGCAATGCAGAGGTGTTATCTGTGCCACAATACATTTACAGTATATCAGCACTACTGTACAGGAGTAATGAGTAGTGATATATATTTGAATACAAACATTCGAATAGCAGTTTTTATTGCTGTCTTCAATCACTTATCTTCAGATATAATGTACCGTAGCTGATCATGTGTGAGATTTGCCCTGCAGCTGCTTTTAGTATATTTTGGCACCAACTATTCCATGCTGACTGTCTCACCTGAGAGGTAAGCATAGCCTTGTGCATTCTGTAATTATAAATCATTTTGTGTGCTGCTGCCAACTTCAAAGGCAAGGTGTGGGGTCTTAACAGCTCCTGTTTTTTCCCTTGCTACTAAGTTACTCAAGAAAATCAGTAGGAAACTCACGTCTGCTCATGTATATAGAAATTACAGAGCTCATTGTAGACTGTAACAGAGAACTTTTTAAGTAAAACCTTTCATGAGAAAAGAATTATAATTTCCATATATAGAAATACTGCCTTGTGTGTGTGTGTGTGTGTGTGTGTGTGTGTGTGTGTTTGTGTATGTGTATGTGTATGTGTGTGTGTGTGTGTGTGTGTGTGTGTGTGTGTGTGTGTGTGTGTGTGTTTTGCTCTCACAGTAGGTTTTGTGTGACAGATAAGTATTTTTGTCCTGTTATGATCACCCATGAGGGGAAGCAGAGGCTAAAGCGGTGCTTACTCAGCAGTAGTTGCTGGGGAAGCAGATGTGCATGAGACTGACAGGATTTTAGCTCAGGGTGGGGGCAGGAGGGGGCCATGAGTCTGTTTTCAAGCATGGCGTATTTGAGTGTGTGTGTTGTTGAGGCTGAGCTGAAGCCAGTCAGAGCTGGTTCACACCTGCTGTGGTTATAAGAACATACTTAGCATACTGCATGACTAACAATAATTTTCACAGCTGTTTCTGCCTCTGATGCACAATAACTGGAATAGTTCATTTATTCAGCTCACCCTAGCCAAATATAGAGACTCAATTCATCTTGTAGTCATGGGAGACTTCATTAGTGTTTTGTCTCTCCATAAAATAATAGTTCAGACATTTCTGAAAGGGTCACTATTATCCTATTACAGATAAATGTTTGACCATCCTGCTGTAAAAGCCAATCTCATCTGAATAACTCCCATCTTTACTGCAGGGATTCTTACTTCCACTGGTCTCACTCTGTGTACAGCAGATGTTCAGGGCAGAGGAGAATAATCCTAATCTCAGTATTCTGCCGATTGCTAGCCCTGACATCATGTCACTGAAGAGGGGATGACATCATGGATGCTGTGCTGTCTTTAGTTTTAAGAGAACCGTGTGACATCTAAACTTTTTGCCAACAATTATAATTTATTTTAAGACATTATCAGTTCACTCGGAAATGCCCTTTAGTCTTGGTTTCATGGAGCTATGTATGACTGTATAGAAATGTCATTATTAGCATGCCAGTTATTTCATCTCCTGTTGTCGGGGATTGCCATTCGATTCTCAGAACCCTTGAATCACATCAACTTGCGACGCTTCCTACTTTGTATTTGTAACAGAATAAGCATAGACAGACATAGAGAGCAAGGGCACATGTAGAAGCTGAACAAGGCTCAACTGTGCGGTTTGTCGCCATACTGTAACAAACAACTAACAAAATACTTCAAATAACTTGCTGATCTTATTTGCAATGCAGTTACCAGTGAAGATGCCTGCTGTTACTACATCCGTAAAGTTAGATTTTCTGGCCATCTAACAGGAAGTATCTTATCTCTCCAGGAAAGCACTAGAGATATACTATATTTTCAAAACAGCTCTCACAGCCCTCCTAACTAACTCTTGTGAAATCTTTTCTGAGAGACATGTATGTCCTCTGAGGAGGAAGAAAAGTGTTAGTTTTGGCAGGGAGAATACTGGGTCATGTGTAAAGCAGAGCCACATGGAATACTAGTGGCAGAGCTAGGCAGCCATCTGTTAATACCAGAAGTCTCTCATTTCGTGGCCAATTTCACCATCCGGTGATGTACAGTAGCCTGCGCTCACCAAGCACCAAGAACAAAGTGATATTTGTTTGCTGTTTAATCTGTGGCAAAGTGAATGAAAGGGAACATTCCTTGTGTCTTGCTAGACCCAACACAAAGTAAAGGTCATCTGTCTATCATGTGTTCTTGCTTGGGATCTACAGAGGAGGCCATGCTGGGAACTGTCTTGCTGTCTGGTATGCCATTCACACAAGGCCATATGTTGCTTACAGTACAGAATTGCTGAACGAGCCAAAGAGCATGTCTGTGCCTTGGGATGTGCTTCTACAACATTAGTGACCAAAATAATTATGTCATAGCTCAGAGGACAGGAATTTCCAAGAGTCTGTCACTTAAAACAAACAAGGCTACACTAGGCCTGCTGGAGAAAATGTCAAAAATGTTTGTAAAATATTGCTAATTTTTACAGATTTATACTGTAGTGAAACAGTACATTCACGTACTTAAAGTGGCTATTATCAATATTTTTATAACAGTGGTTCAAATTGCTGTGTGTAACCTGAAAGGGGTCATGTGTGGTGACAAACCCACAGAGAAATTAGCACTCGACTCCACAGTTCCCCAGAGCTCTACGGAGCATTATAGTGTGTTGGTTTTCCTGTTCTCAACTTTACTCTTTTGGTTCACTCTCACAGTAGTTGTTTTTGGCTGCAGCAGGCAGCTGTTTTCAGCAACTAAAGCTCTGATAAGCCCATTGTGTGCTACCTACCCAGCACCAAAACACAGAGACTATCTGGTGGACACAGTGGAGCATTTAGCAGCTAAAGAGCCAAATATTATTATTTTATATTATATTATATTTATTTTTTTCTTCATTTGACATTTCACATGATAGCTAGTTACTTTACAGATCAATCAAACAATTCGTAAAATGGTTGAAAGTAGTTCTAGCAGCTACAACGTCAAACGCTGCTTATATGCTAATGTTAACCATAATAATCCAGTAATACATGAAAATAAAAGACACTTTTTCTTAAGGAGCACTTTAATATATAGATAACTTTATTTTATATTTTATATTATATTTTTTTATTTATAAGTATTTATACTTATTATATTTTTGAGAACTTTTACTTGTAGTGGAGTATTAAAGTATTATAGTATTTATAGTATAGATAATATAGTATAGATTTAGTATATTATCTTAATACTTATTTAACCATTTTACATACAAGTTTCCTTTTTGAAAGTGGTAAAAATAGATAAACCCTCCAGTGGTACATTAAAACAAAACAATCGCTGTTATTCATTTGAATCAATGAATAGTTATTGTGGAATTTGAGAATTCTGTGTCTTGTAGTCTTGCTGTTCTGTGGGCCATTATGGCCAGGCAGTCCAGAAACAGTACTTCACTGTCCTCAGCACCAGAAGTGGGATGGAGCATCATGATACAATATTCTGTCTGTTCAAGTTTGATTTGCAGTCCTTCCACTCTCTCTTTGTCTAAAGCGTTCCACTTCCTCATTGTGTATTTATGGCAACAAAAACAACTTACCATTTGCTCTCCGAAAAAAGGCAATCATCGACATCTCTGCATTTATTCGCAATGAGATCATTTATG